GAGAAGAAAGTTATGTTGAATTTCCGTTTCCAAAAGGAGCATAGCGATAGTTTAACATATTGATTTATAATCTTCATATGTTTATTATCACTTCTATCACTCCCACCCCCGCTTATCAGATATCCCCGCATTTGTAGTATCCATTTATCATTTCTGTGACATTTTTATCATCCTTTCCGTTCGCCATATCACTTATCTTCTACCGAGAAACATCGTGTTTCGCACTTTTGGCATCCTCTTAATCAAGTATTTTCGCACTTTAGGCATCCTCTTAATCAAGTATTTTTATTTTTTAACATTTGTCAACTGTTTTTCCTCGTGTTTATCCTTTTTTTTTATTATCTTATCTGTCGATGTATTTTCCGTTTTCGTGAAGTTTTCCTTACTGTAATTTCTGGTCTTGTTGGAAATTTCTGCACCGCATAATGGTGCGCGGTGCAGAAATGGTGAAGAATCTTACTGTAAGCGCTATAAAATTGTTATGAGGAATTTTAATGTCAATCAAACGGCCGGAAAATAAAATTTTAGGGCAGAAGAAATGTGGGAGAAGTTTTTGTATTTTTGCATCGATAAAAATGCAAAGGAATTTTCTTTTTTTTTTGTTACATTAGCCTTCGCTTGAAGTACCACAAAATTTTGGCGTCCAATTTGAAGTACTACAATCAGACCTGTTCAAATACGCACTTTTGCTTGCGAATTTTCGTTTTTAAAATGTGCATTTTATCACAAAAATAATGCCCAGTGGTTAAATATTAAATTTTTTTTTTCATCAAAAACGTCGGTAATTGCAGTATTTGCAAAAAATTCCTGGATTCCCAGTAAAAAAAAGTTCCCTAGATGGTGACTGCGGTGCGGCGCCACACACCGTGTTTGTGTGTACTTGTCGCCCATGTTATGTACATTTCAAACACCGTCTGAAAGGTTGCTTTCTTCGTTATCATTGCATGATAATCGACCTCCACCGCCTGTCACCGGAGCGTGCATGCTATGCATTTTTGCCCGTCCTTTGCCCTGAATCATCGTGTTTTCTATTTTTCATTTGAAATTGACACCTCATTCCCTTTGCTTTTTCAGCGAAAAGGAAATGTTAGATTTCTTGTGCTTCGTCAACAACTTATTATATTTTGTTTTGATGTTTTGACCAGCTTCATTTCATAGCTTTTTGGTTTTCCCAGCTATGCAACTGGCAACTTTTCCAATTGCTTTGCCAGTGCTACATCGTCTAATAATCGGTTTACGAACGATTCTGTTTCGCCTCTTGAAAAGATTATTAGCTCAGTGTTTCTCTGGAAGGAATCGCTTGCTGAATATCTATATTTATGCCTCTAATTTGTAATGATCTGAAAGCTTATTGTAGAAAAAACGCCAAAAGATTGTCAGAAAAGAAACAGCTTGAAAATAATAATAAAAATAGTAATACTGATAGTAAACAAAATCGTAATAATAATAACGTTACTGCTTTCCATTTGAAATTGGCATCTTATTCCTATTGCTTCTTCCGCGAGAAGGAAGAAGTAATGATTATTGCTATTATTAGTAGCAATAGCAGTAATGGTAATGATTATTATAATCACAATAATAATATTATCAGTAATAATAATAGAACATGGAAGAGTAAGCATAGTAACATTAGCCGTCAGAGAATAATGTAAACAATAATCTGTGACACTGAGTTATCGAAGAGGGCATTTTTGTCTTCTACACTGTATGAGGAATTTTATTCATGGTCAGTAATAAAGGGTTTGGATGTAAAAGTATTTCTGAATGGCATGTCTGGGATTCTTTCAGGATGAAGGTAGCAGAAAGAGAATTAGCTACCGCCAGTAGTTTCTTTAGGAGGCTGTGTTGAAAAAAAGTGTTTTCCTCCAGAAATTTTTCGTTCCCCTGATTTTCTTCATATCAGCAGCGGCAGCAACAGCTGTCCTGTGCTCATCCCACGGTTTTAGGAGCAGATTTGAAATTTTCAGCTCCTGTTTCTGCACTGGGACGAAAAAAAAAAAAACTTTAGCGTTGTTTGCTGCATAAGTGCATTCCAGACGGAAGGAGACAACGAGTTTTTGAGAAACTAGTTTTCTTGCTAACGAACATCGCCGGCTCGAGCTGATGGTAGCTT